GATATGAGTTCAATCACCGGTTCCGCCAAAAAAAAAAAAAAAAAAAAAAAAAATCACGTGGGAAATTCAGCTCCCTGGGCTTTCTGAAGGTAGGATTGTTTTCCAATAATTCCTGATTACCAGAGTACAACTGTTAATTAATAAATGATCTGGGATCACTGGTCCTTATCCTGAATATTTATTTTTGTTTATTTATTTATTTTTATTTGGTACAGGGTCTCACTATCCAGCCCCAATCCTGAGTATTTCCGATGAACACGAATCTGAAGTTTCTCCCGAGCAACAGGAGAGAGGTTTTTCTGGAGAGAAAGGGACTCTGTATTTCTATACAGGCTTTGGAAACACAGAGTACAGCAGCTCCTCACACAAGCTTCTCCTTTTTGCAGTTTTAGCTACCTGTGGTAAACAGTGGTCTGAAAATACGAAACGAAAAATTCCAGCAATAAATAGTGCACAAGCTTTAAATAATTTCAGTACGGCATATTCAGTACAGCATAATTGTTCTATTTTACTATTAATTATCACTAATCTCTTTGTTCAGTTTATAAATTAAATTTTATCATAGGTACAGCAAAAACATGATATATCTTGGGTGTTATATATATTGCTAATGATTTTAGGAACATCTTAGAATACATTCCCAAGGGTGATGTGTAGGGTCTACATGTAAAACCCCCCTTGGGTGGGCAGAAGGAGTAGAATACCATGGCTCCATGGCTCCCTTTGACCCGTGAAGATGTTATCAGTGTTCTAGAGCCTGGAGAAGCAGACAATTAGCCATGGATCTGTAAGGTTAACTGCAAACTCCGAAAGCATTTAGAGAACATGTGGTATTCCAGAGTGGAAATAAATTTAAAATATCCTCACAAGGGCCAGTAAGATAGCTCAGTGGACTAAGTGCCTGTTTATGCCAGCGCAAGGACCAGGGTTTGATCCCTGGCACCTCATGCAGCACCAGCCTTGCCCCTGGCCACCAAGACCTGGTATGGTGTTGTATGCCTGTAATCCCAGCACCGAGGAGGCTGAAAACAGGAGGATCAGTACGAGTCCGAGTTGCATAGTGAGACCCTGTACCAAATGCATTATAAAAAATTAAAAAGTAAAATTAAAAAGTAAAAAAAAAAATTCTCAGACACTAGTCTGCCAGCCCATTTTCCTTGGTACATGCTTGCCACTCTCAGCCCTCAGTGTTGCTTGTACACACGTGTGTACAAAAGAGCACAATCACAATGTACCTTGGTGAGGTTTGATTGTGGTTTGTCCCCACCAGAATTCATGTGGAGGTTTTGTCTCCATTGTAACAGTGTGGAGAGGTTGCGGTGCCTTCTGGAGGTGGACAGGTCTTCAGGAGGAATTGGTGCCTTTTTCACAGGACTAAGCATGTTACCACGAGAATGGTTATTCTAGAGACACTAGCACTTCCCTTCTTCCTTACACACAAGCTTCTTCCCCACTCATCCTCTGACCTTCTCTCTTCCCACCAAGCATGGAGAAGTATGCGGCTTCACTGTAAGCCACAAGTGCTCTGTGGCATGTCCTTGGACCTCCAGCACTGCCAGTTACACCAACCTGCTTCCTTTATACTATATTACCTAGTCTCCAGGATCTCGTGATAGCAATAGAAGCAAGGATTAAGACAGGTTGAATTATGTGCAGTTGTTACTCTTACCAGTTAAAATGGACAACTATCCACATTTTCATGTGGCTCACCCCACCGTCTGGGCATGCTCATGCGTGCACATATGTGTACTTGCATCCAAGCCCACATGCATGCACATATATGTACTTGCATCCAAGCACACATGCACATGCATGCACATATATGTACTTGCATCCAAGCACACATGCACACGCACACACAAATTCTCTGATGCCTTTCTCCATGGCTGTGCAAAACAAACCTGGATTCACCTTCACCTCTCCCTGCCTGGCCATCCCTGACATTAATGACTGATGGCTATGATCCTTCTTACAGGAGAGTGAAGACTTAGAGAAACAGAATGCAGCCCTGCGCAAGGAGATCAAGCAGCTCACCGAGGAGCTGAAGTACTTCACGTCGGTGCTGAGCAACCACGAGCCCCTGTGCTCTGTGCTGGCCACCAGCACCCCGTCACCCCCTGAGGTGGTGTACAGCACTCATGCCTTCCACCAGCCCCATGTCAGCTCCCCGCGCTTCCAGCCCTGAGCTTCCAGCAAGGAGAGCCCGGAGCCTCCACCTCTACCGCTCCTGTGGCCTCGGGAGTGACATATAGACTATGGCCAGACTGTCCTGTTTCCACTGGAGTCCTGATGGCAGAGAGCTAGACAAGACTGAATGCAAAGACTGTAGCAGCCAGAGGGGTCTGAGGCCCCTGGCAGTATGGAGCCAGCCAGGGTGGGCTGGACCCCCATGTGGATGGAGCTGCAAATACCGACAGCACACACAGAGCCCAAGTGACCCCTCACAAGGGGAGAAGACTAAGCCTGGCTTATTTTTCTAAATAAATATTTTAAAAGAAACCAGGTTCCCCCTTTCAATCTGTCCCTAGAAAAACTCTACCTTCTGTGGGACTGGGGGCTTTTTGTCCTTTGCCTCAGTTGTCCTCTAAAGAGTTCACTGGTTCTGTTAATACACCTTCTTTTCCATGATTTGTTCATGTACTTAGGAGCTGGGATTTTTTTTCTTTCTCTCTCAAAACATCTTTAAGTCTCCCTTTGGACATCCTGATTTTCTGGTTCAATCTTGCAGTGACCCCCATCTTTTCATCCCTCATGGCTGAATGCATTCTAGATTGTAAGTGGTTGCCATTCATCTGGGAGAAGGCCCATGGCAAATGCCATCTGGACAGGTGGAAGCCAGGCCGGCCCTGCTATTGCCCACTCCGACAGCTCCCAGCCAGCTGAGCTAGGTGTCTGAGGGACCCAAGCCAGTGCTTTACACCCAGGGTTGCAGGTAGCGTAAAATATGGGTGCCTTATGGAAGACGCCACCTCCTTAGTGAGCAGTGGTAACAAGCACATGACTGCCTGTCTCCACAAGGCTCAGCAGGCTTCCATCTCAGCATCTCACATGACAACTCAAAAGTTGTTTCCAGTTTGAGCATAGCTTGAAACCCATCTGCCTCATCTGCCCCAGCTCTGATGTCCCCTTCTATAGAAATATACATATGAGACAGGAGCCTAATGTCCCAACGGAGCTAGGAGCAATGCACAGAGCCCAAGGAGAGCTGTTGTCTCACTTGTAAATTCCGGTAAGCTGGGATTCAAGGCTGCAGATAACAGCTTCTGCTGCTGGTGCCCTGTCTGTTCTTTGATCCCTTGCTTGGGACACTAGCATTGTGTAAATTTAGTGCTAGGAAAATGGTGGAAGTCCGTAGAGATAGTAGTTTGTGTTCACCAAAGTAGTTATGCCCAGTCCTTATCCTGCTTTTAGCCCTCAATAAATGTGAGATGCTTCTGAGGCTCTGGGCTCGCTTGGAGAGAGGCGAACCTCAGTGAGACCTCTGAGGCTCTATTCATCAGGTCTTCCGTCATTTCTTTCAGCCCCAACTCACAACATACAACACCCTAGCCCCTTAGATCTCCCTGGGCTGCGGGGCTGTGGACCTGTACCCTAGAGGTCTGCCCACACGCTGCTCAAGAGCCACACCCCTGGCTGCAGTGGGGCCTAGCCACCTGTGTGGCCCTTGCAGAACCTGCTGGGGACCAGAGAAGCAGGAGTAACTGGCAAGCTTCTGGCCCAACCTCTTTAGCTGCCACCTCAGTCTCACTCTTAGGCAGCAAGGCCTCATTTTGCCAGTCTGCATTTCTGGCTGCTCGGAGGCCACACCTCTTTCTTTCTTTTTTCTTTTCTTTTCTTTTTTTTCCCCCTTACCAGGGATCAAGCTCAGGACCTTGCCCTTGCCAGGCAGGTGCTTATGCCACTGAGCTATCTCCCCGGCCCAGTTCTGTCTTCTCCCACCCAGGTCTTTCTTATCCTCTGGGACAACACCAGATTGGGCTATTGGAACGATTCAGCTCCAGAGCCCTGAGAAATTTGCTTCTAGCATGAGCACCTGCAATCTGTGTGGGCTGCATAGGGAGGCAGCCACCCAAGGCCTCTGGAAGCAACAACTGGGGCTTCTGCCTGTGTAGTCATGACGTGTGGGCATCCAGAGTGGGGAATTAGGCGGAGTCCACTAACTCAGAGCCTGGAGAGAGAGCCCAGGAGATCTTTCCTGAGCACTAGCTTTTCTTCTCCTGCACTCTGAATTTTGCACCTTTGGTCTCTGGACAGAAAGATGACTGGGGTTCCTCTTCCCAGATAGTTAGTGTTGACTAGAGTGGGAGCAAAGAGTCTCTCCTATCAGTTTCCTTTAGGGTCCGGCTTTTCTGGCAGCTAGGTTTGTCCAGCTCTTTCTTACCCCTCTGCTAGCAGAGCAGAGAAGCCAGCCGCTCCCTGGGCTACATCTGCTGAGTGGAATTCACAGAGGCGAGACGCAGAACTTCAGGTCCTGCTTTCTTTGCAGCTAACCTTGCCAGAGTAGGCCTCTCGTGGGCCACTTCCTTCCAGTCAGAGATTTTTCTCTCCGCCCCTGCTGTAGCACTGTGATTTTCCCCAGAAACCCCCGCAGAGGGCACATGATCTCAATCAGGCATCATCTGCACAACACTCAGGGCCAGAGCAACAAACGCAGCACTCACGTGTACTGTTCCCATTTCTGGTTGAGGACTGCACTTCCGCTTTCATTCTCCACTTTCTAATGAGCCCAAGCAGTTCCACTTCTCCTTTCTGATCAGCCTGGTAGAGGTGGCAGGCTGAGGTTTGGGCAAAGGCGAGTGCCAGCCTCACCCCCACGTAGGGGAATGGCAGAAGCAGCCCTGCCCCAGTTGCCTACCCCACTCAGCTCCCTCCAGGCCAGACAGGCACTGAGTGCAGCAGTTCCCTGGACATAGGACCGCTGGGTATGAGAGATGCTGGAGAAACGCGGCACAAGTGCACAGCTGCCCTTCGGCTCTGCCACACTGCCACATGGGAGTTCAGGCGCTGGGATGGTCTTGTCTTCCAGTTGGTCAGGAAAAGCTAAAGAGAAAATGTTTGTATGAATCCTCTCCCCCACCCCACTCCCTTTTTTGTGATGCAGGGGCTTAACCCAGGGTCTCATGCATGCTAGGCAAGCAGGCTACCACTAAATCTCAGGGTCACACAGCTATCCTTGAAATCTCCCTATTTTAAAAATAGTTGCAGATCAACAAAACATGTTAGTGGGTCAAGTCAGCCCCTATTTGCAGGACCTGAAGCAAGAGCAAAAATAGAGGGCCCATACCATGCATCTAAATACTTATAGCTTATAAGTCAGGTTTAAAAATCAGGTGAGGGGCTGGGGAGATAGCTTAGTAGAATAAGTGCTTGTCTGGCAAGCGCAAGGGCCTGAGTTCAATCCCTGGTTCAAAAAAAAAGAATGAATGAATGAAGTTGCCAAGTGCTATTTAATAGAAAGGCAGGTTCATAAAAACACTACAGAATGTGTTCATTCACCATGTGGTGGCCTTCTGTACCTTTTGCCTCTTCTCCAGTGTCAAAAATGACCACAAAAGGTAAATATTTTGAATGGATTCAGGTCATGAGGCAGCCATGAAAGTGCAACTAAAGACTCCCCCAAAAGAGGAGCTTCAGAACTGCTTCAGAAAGTGGCAAGAGTGATGCAATAAACGTGTTCAAAGTGAGGAGAGTGCTTCAAAGGGCATCAGTGGTACTGTGTCTATTACTGTCATTTCTAAAATTTAAACATTTGCTGTCTATTTTGTTTACTCCTTGTGTGTATCAAGTCCACCCTCGGGAAGAAGTTTCTGGGGAAGAGAGCTGCAGGTCCAGGCAGCCAGCCCAGAGCGGTTGACTGGGAGGGTTCTGGCATCCTGTGTGTATGGAACATGGCCTAAAAGGGCACAGAGAGCCAGGTGTAGTGGCACACATCTGTAATGCTAGTGATCAGGAGGCTGAGGCAGGAGGATCGCTGTTAGTCTGAGGCCAGCCTGGGCTACACAGTAAGACCATGCCTAAAAAAAAGAAAACCTCTGAGGGTGGTCCTGTAGAGGTCTGCAGTCTATCACTCTAATCTGGGCCATCAGTGCACCCTGAGAAAACCCAAGTTATGGGAAGGCCTCGTGCTGCAAGGAATGAGCACAAAATGGCGTCATTGTCATTTACCTTGACCTGAGGGTTCTACAGCAAGCTTCCTTCCCCATTGCTGCTTCCTCATTGTCTACCTTTTAATAGCAGTGTTATTCCCTGAGTGAATGTTGAAGCGAATTACGAGAAGGCCAGATTTTTGGTCCTCAGGCTGAGAAGTGTGGGTGGGGAGAGAAAGGGAGACAGAATCAACTCGAAGGTCACAGGGTTACTGTCTGTAAACTTACCAGCAACGTTTATTAATACCGCTGGCTGAAGTTTCAATTGTGGCTTTGTGGTGAAGGAGGTGAAACGGCGGGGTGGCCCAGTTCTTCTGGGGACAGACTCTATCCTATGCCTTGTCTCTTTGTCCCACACTGGTTTCAGTATCCCAGAACTGCTCAGGAATTCCAGAGAGGGAAAGAAGCTGATACACCTGAGGCACACATCAAGGCGGCATGGGTGTCCTCCTCTTTCATCTCTGTTAGAGAGCCTCGCCTTAGAAAAGGCACCTGGGCCTAAGGCCAGTGGAGTTGACCCAGCGGTGCCTCTTTCGATTTGGTAGCAAGTGAATAGAAGAGATTCTTACCATAGGAGTTACCAACTACTGGCCTTCTGTGAGCACCAGGGGAGCGGAGCTAAGGTGGGCAGATGATAGAGATGTGTCCCTCCTAAAGATCTTGCTTATTAATCACTTAATTTGTGATTGAGTTAATCTCATTCCAGGAAGATAAAATAAAAATCTGATCCTGGTTTGAACAATCCATTAGTGGGCAAAGACAAGGAACACATTCTCAGAAAAGTTTAGTAAGAATGCCCATCTAGCCAAGCATACCTCACCACCTGGCTGAGAGTCCATGTTTCCCCAGCTTCCCTGGCCATTGCTGCTGATAGGTTTGTCTGGCTTCATCCAAAAGACCCTGTAGACAGACAGCCGAGGTTATCAGTGCTTCTCATCACTACCTTCCTAAAACCATGCTTCCTTTTTCCCTGGCAGCGTAACCCTCAGCTTAATGACAATGTGCCCTGACAAAAAGATGACATTTCCCTGTCTGCTTTGAAGCTAAGCATGACCATGTTAGATTTAGGCAGAAATTCCCAGGTAGGGCTTGCGGGAAGCTCTTTAAAAAGATGAGGCTGTCTCAGCAGGTGCTTGCTTTTCTTCCTCTTTCTGGACATGGGGCAATCATCTTGCAACCATGATGAAACCAAGCTGCCACACATGATGGTGCATACCTGTAACCCCAGCATTCAGGAGGCTGAGCCAGGAAGACTGCTTCAGGTGGAGGCCAGCCTGGGTCAGCCAGAATGATATACTGAGACTTTGTCACA